CTCTCTCTCTCTCTCTCTCTCTCTCTCTCTCACACACACACACACACACCTGGTCCCTGGCATGCAGCTCCTAAATCCCTTGCACCTGAGCCTAAAGGAGCATCTTTTGCCTCTGTTCCTAAGGCAGAGCCCTTAATTCCTTAGAATTCCCGCGTCACTCGCACTGCCTTTTGTGGTGAAGAGGCAACTGCTCGGGACCAGCTGGGATTAGAAGTTTGAAGCTTTCTGTTCCAACCTGGAGAGGGGAAAGGTGCTGGAGGCGGAGTAAATACTCCTCTGTGCCTATGTGATAAAAGCCTCCATAAAACATCCCTCAACTATAAAAGTGCAGAAAGTTGCCAGGTTGGTGAACCCATCCGTGTGCCAGGAGGGTGGGGCACCCCAGCTCCACACAGCAGGAGCTGGAGACCCTTGCAGACTTTGTCCTGTGTATCTCCTTCAACTGGTTATTCATTCATCCCCTTGACCTTGCCTCAAGCGCAGGGCTGATCAAAATCTACAGTTTGTTTAAATTTTAAAGTATGTATTACAGTTAAAGACACATTGCTGGGAATCCCCCTCAGGATACTCAGAAATCCTCCCCTTCCCTTCACACACACACACACCCCATCATTTTTGGTATTTTCTGAAGCGGCTCTGGAAATCCCCTTTTGTGAGTGTTTTTATGAGGTGTGACCAAAAATACAGTAAATGCTGATGCCAAATAATATCCAATGAAAAGACAAGTTCATAAAAACATCACAGCATGGCCGGGCATGGTGGCGCACGCCTGTAATCCCAGCACTTGGGAGGCTGAGGCAGGAGGATCGCTGTGAGTTCAAGACCAGCCTGGACTACGTAGTGAGTTCCAGGTCAGCCTCAACTACATAGTGAGACCCTGTCTCACAAAACCAAGAAAAAAAATCACAGCATCTCCTCATCCGTGTTATTACCTAGATCTGGCACTGTGGGACTCCTGGCTCTTCCCCAAAGTCAAAATGACCATGAAAAGGTAAATCTGAATCAATTTAGGTCACGGAAGCAGCTCTTTAAAGACTAAAGAACTTCTTCAGAAAGTGGTAAGAATGTGTTCAAAATGAGGGGGAATATTTTCAAGAGGATTAGGGCAGTGTGTCTTTTACTGTGATCAAAATTTTTTAAAAAAAACTTTGGCCTAGCGTGGTGGCGCATGCCAGCACTTGGGAGGCTGAGGCAAGAGGAACGCTGCGAATCTGAGAGCAGCCTAGGCTACAGACTGAGTTCAACGCCAGCTTGGACTACATAGAGAGATCCAGTCTTTAAACAAACACATAAATAGAAGCTGCGTATGGAGGTGATTGCCCTTAATCACAGCACTCTGGGAGGCCAAGGCAGGAGGATCACAAGTTCAAATCCATGGCCAGGGATTTAGCTCAGTGGTGCCATGCCTGCCTCACAAGCACAAGGTCCTGAGTTCCATCCCTGATACAGTGAAAAAAAAAAAAAAAAAAGTTTAAGTCTAGCCTGGGAAACTTAGGGACTTAGACTTTGTTTCATAATAAACAAAGGGCTGCAGATGTAACTCTGCAAAGGCTCAGGATTCAATTCACAGTACTGAAAAGAGATCGAACATTCACTTTTTTTAAAAAACCGTACAGAGTATCTTTTTCATCTTGTTGCACCCTCCTGGCCCTTGTAATACCCTTTATAATAAAGCAGCGGGTGTAAGGAAGTGTTTCCCTGAGTCCTGAAGCTGCTCTAGCTGGTAATAGAACCCCAGCAGGTAATTATCCATGGAAACAGGTGCTACGTACCAGACAACGTTTGGTTGCTGATGCCTGCGTTGGTCACTGCGCCCTGTGAAATAAACAGTGCTCTTAACGTCTCCATTTTTACCCGGGGAAACTGAGGCCCAGCCTGGTTGTATCTTGGTGGGGAAGCAGTCCTTTGGGACTCAGCCCTTAACCTGCGGGAACTGGTGCTACGCGCATGCCCAGTACGCATTTCCAGGAAAACACACACACACACACACACACAC